CAGCCCAGTAACCCATGTTGTTTCTGCACCCCAACACCCTTGTGGGGCCGATGCACGGGGGCGGCTGTAGCTGGTATTTCATGTTCTGCTTGGCAGGATTAGCCCTCCTGGCACTCGTGCTGCCAGCAAGGAGGCTGCCAAGGACCAGCTCCCCCCTCTCCAGCTGCAGCTCAACAGTGCAGGCCATCAGACCGGTCAGGAGGGTGGCAGCGAGCCTAAAAATTCTGCTGGGGGCAGAAGGGGATCTCCTCCCATATGCAGGGGCTTTTCACAGTGCTTGAAAGGCATCTGCAATGCCTTTAGGGATGGACGGGGCAGCTCTGCGCCACATCACCTGAACCATTTAGCGGTGCTCGGTTGGGTGCTGGTGGGGCAGAGAGAGGTGCTGCCGCAGCGTTTCCACCTCTACAGCCATTCCACGGTGAGGAGCACACGTGGGCAGCCCCAGTGTGGAGTGCAAGACCACCAGAACTGTTGTTCTTGAGTCTTGCCCCAACAAGCAGCCACCTCTTTGCTGAGCATCTCTGGGAAAATACCTCCTCCTGGTTTTGCGCAGATGGGGAAACTGAGGCATGGGCAAGTGGCAGAAGTTGCTTTTGGCCCTGAGGGAGAAATAGCAGCCCAGGGGTCCTGCACTCCCACATGGACCAGCACAAATGTATCTTCCAACACAACCCCTGACCTTTGCAACCCCCACTGCAAAGCCCCTGGAAGAGGCCTGAGGTTTCTGCTGGGCCATGGAAGGACAGACCGACTCCACGTCCAGTGTGCTGCTTCACCTGCCCAAGTACCTCCTGCACCCGTGTCACGTCCCACAGGGATGCTGGGAGCATGTCTCTGCCTGGAGGAGCATGTGCAGGCCTGAAGCTTGCTCCATTGCCAAACTCCCTTGAGATGAAGGTGACCACCATTTCCCACCCCTGAGAGAGCTGGAACCACACAGAGACGTCCAGTCACAGTCTCGTGGGAATGAGATGTAAAGCAGAGACTGGGGAGGGAGCTGGGGCACCTCCTCCAACAAAAGCAGTGATGCCATGGGAGGAAAGGACTAGGCGCAGCAGGTAGTGCCCATGCCACCACCATGTCTCTACCCACAGCCAAGATCTAGCCATCCCCAGCGCTCAGCTGGGTTATCTTCACAAAAACCTTGTTTGGAAAAGGAAACAAGTCCAGAAAGGACAGGAAAGGCAAGATGAGCTGACTCCACGCCCTCGCCCAGAGCCGTGACGGCTTCCCACAGCCAAGACATCAGCTCCGATTCAACATCTTTCTTCACACACCTCCCAGAAACCATCCCCCAGACAACAGGGCTTTCTTGCCCAGTCATGCGGAACAGTCAGTTGTGATTATAACAGAGGACTGGTGCTATTTCCCATATCACACCTCCTTCCCCCTACCCTGCCCTTCCTCCTCCCAGCACTGCTCCAGCCAGCTCACTGTACAGGAGCTGAGGACTGTCACCAGGTGATGGAGAGGGGCCACGCAGGATCAGGCAATGGAAGAACCAAGGTGTGTGCAGGGCTCCGTTGGCCACCAAACCCAGCAGGTGAGCACATCTTCAGCTTCAGCACAACATAAAAGCCTGTTACCTAGCAGATGAGTTCACACCGTTAGGCATAATGTTGATTAAATCACAAATCAAGCCAACCAGAAGAGCGCTTACACCATGATCTTGAGGATTCTAATTCAGGGACAGTTCCACGACATCTGGAGCCACAGTCATGCCTGGCATTCCCAAGGGAGGTACTACGTGTCCTCAGCTGCACTTGGGCTTGGCCATGTCTCTGGGAGAGCCCTTGCCAGCACCAAGAAGCAATTCAGCTCTGGAATGTCCTGCTGAAGAGGAACCAGCTCATGGGCAACCACACCAAAACCTCTGCCAGTGGCTCCTCTGATGCCTCTCCACCACCAATGCAATCCAACCCCAGCGAGATCCCACAGAGACCACCAAGCAGCCCTACAAGAGGCCAAATCAGCCATTCATGCACTGCAAGCTTCAGCTACAAGGCAGAAAAGTCCCAGCCAAGGGCCCTCAGCATCTCCTCGCAACGCAACCTGAAGTGGGGACCCAAAATATTTTGAGTCTCCCTAGCACAGTGCCAGCCAAGCATTCTTGGTGTCTTCTGGAGCTCCTGGTGTCCCTTGGAGGGATCCATCACTTGTCATCTCAGCACCAGCCAGTAAGTTATGGTCCCCCATGAGTGCCTGCTTCTCTATAACCTTTCCCCAGAGCCCAGCTGTGAAGACTCAGCCCTGGACAAGATATTTCATAACTTCTCCTGCCTTTCTCAATGCTTAATCATTTTTGCAGTTGTCTGCAAATGAGTCTAAGCCTTTGCTATGAGGAAGCAGAGGTATCTCCACCTCCCTTCCTGGTAATTCTGCTAGGGTGGGAAAAAATAAAAGTGCATGTGACCGAGTTGTTAATAAGACATCCCAAATACAAAAACAAGCTAATTAAAACCAGGCATGACCTATTCATAAAATAAGTCCTTTCAACTGTAAAAGGAGAGGAGAAGCCTTTGAAGTCAGGTCTTATAATCCAGTGAGATCCCTGCCTCCACCAGTGACCTCACTTGGAAACTCATTCTTACCCAACATCGTTAATGCCCTCCCAATGAAAGCTAGCTTTAGAGACAGCTTGGATTTAACAATTTGTGAAGCCAAAGCCTCAGTAGAACAAGTTAGCCAGGGTACAGAAGAGTCTCCTGGGGCTCTTTGCCAAGGCTAGGATGCCTGTGCAACTCCTCATGTGTTCCTTGTTGGGGGGACGCCATCTCTCAGCAGGACTTTGGGCTGCCCTGCTGCACCCTGCCATGAAATGCAGAAGGTTGGGGTCTATCAAACGGTAAATTCCAGAAGAGGAGAGCTTGTCACCCCCCCTGCCCCAAAAGAAGAGCCAAGGGAGCAGCACTGATACCTCCTCTCTTCTCAGCTCAAGAGAACGTGAAGCAGAGATCCATCCATAAACACAAGGTCTGCAGGGAGAGGAGACAGGAAAAGCCCAGCTAGTCTCGGGCTTTGAGGCAGCCCCCACCGGCAACCCACCACCGGCAGACAGCACGGCCTAACTGCTTCGAGCGTCCCACTCTCCTCCCATGCTTCCCACTGCCATCACCACTGGGGACGGGACATTGGGTCAGTTCGGCAACGCCCCACCTGTCCGCAGACATTCATCCCAACCCACTGCTGGAACAACCATTGTTTGTGAGATTTACTGTGAATGGAGTCAGATGCCAAGATAATCCCTTTATTAGGCTGATGCCTCTTCTGTTGCATCCTACGTGACTCAGAGATCAGAGAAAACTGAGCAGCCCAAAGAAACTATAGCACTGGCTGAGAAAAGGTGCAAGAATAGGCACTTAGGAGTGTCCGCCAGGCTACAAACACTTGGGCATGCTGAGAAGGGCCAGGAGAACCACAGAGGATCCCTTCAATGCAGAGGTCATCTACAGGTTCATCTGGCATTAGGCAAGGGGTGACACCACAGCGGTCTCCCAAGCTAAGAATGAACTCATAGCACATCCATCCCTTCTGGGCAAAGTCAGGGAGAGACTGGAAACCAAAGGGACCAAGTGCATCTCTGTGGCATGGTGGGGCACCATTTTGTAAGAAAAGAGGGGATGTCTGTGGTAGTCTGGAAAGGGACTCAAAGATAACCACCCTCAAACTACCGGTAATGTCTTTCTTCAAAATTTCTTTCAAATTCAAACCAGCAAGAACAAACTACCTCACCAGAAGTCCTCTCCCAGCTTCCAACCTTTCCTTTTAAAGGCCAACAGGAATTCACACAGATCCCAGGGACCAACTTTACAAACACAGATGCTCCAGCATCTCCCTCGAGCTCCTCCTCGATTCTCATCAGGAGCAGGGGAGAGATGTCAGAAATGACAACAGTTTACTGGACATTTGGACAATCAGGGAATAATCGATGTGTCACTGCCCAAACTTGCAAACTGAAGGGCTCCAGGAGCCACCAGGGCTCATTTCAGGAGAAATACCATAGGATTTTCAACACCATAAATGATAAGGGTATAAAGAATATCAGTTTTATGGGAAGAATGCCCTCCAGCATGGCAGGACATGGTTTTGTGGGGGGAAATACAGGTGGCAGCGGCACTGACAGAGTCACCAGCGTCACCTCTGCCACACTGAAAGCCCTGAGTCAGCAGGAACGTGGGAGGGGCTGCCATCTCCCCCACAACCTGCCTATTAAACCCAAAGCATAGTCCAGGGTCAAAGAGCAGCTCACGGGAAGGAGTCAGGGGTCTCCTAGAGCCAGGACATCACATGGCACAGCACTGGGGTCTGTCCAAGGCAGGCACAGCCTCTCCATTTGCTTTAAGCACTGAGGGATGTGCAGCAGCCAGGCTGCTCCGTGCGGAGGGAGACCCAGAGGGTCCCCCCAGAGCTCAGCTCAGAGTCTGGGGCTGCGAAGCTGCCAGGGAGGAAGCAGAAACTCCGCGCTGGGAGCGATGGCTGCATCCAGCCAAGCTGGCGTTTGGGAAGCAGGGAGCGCGGAGGCAGGCGCTGAGCGCCTCGCCGTGGGGAAGCACGGTGCTCGAGCACCGGCCCTCCTGCCCTGCAGACAGCTGCTTCTTGCAGCCAGCCATGCTAAAGCACGTTTCTTGGAGCAAGTCACTTGCAAAAGCACATTTCTTTTAGCCAGAAAAATGCAGCAGACCCCAGGTCAGATCCACCGGCTCCATCAGAGGCGGTGGTGCAGGATTGCTCCCCTGGCAGATTTTCTCCTGCAGGTTGCTTCTCAGCTGTTTGCTCTTGATCTCTGTCTCGCTGTCTCAGCCCCCCCCAGGGCTGTCTGTGCCCTGCTCTCTCCTGCTTGCCTTAGGCTTTCTGTCACAGGCTCTTTAGCCATTTTACCTCAGATAAACTCTTCCCACAGTTACCAAGCGGGCAGCAGGAGCAGAGGCTGCACACAGGGAACTGTGAATGAGGCCAAAATGGGGGGAAAAACATCCCTGTGGAAAAGCCTCTGAAAATTACACACTTTCTGTACAGGTTTGGGCATCTTGTAGCTGCAGCAAGGCTTCCTTTCCTCAGAAAACTCACGCATCCTAAAACAATCAATGCATTCCCAGTTTGGTCCCCACCAGAGAGCATCGCTGCCAGAGCATGGAGAAACACCCAGACGATGCAACCCAGTCTCTGAGCACATTTCACCCACAACCTCTGCTACAAGGCAAGTGCACTGTGACTTTGGGAATCCTAACACGCAGTCACGCATCCATCCAGGCCACCCAGACATAAGCATCATTGCTGGATCTACCTACGAAGGCAGGGGATGTTGCAGACAGCATCGGCCCACAAATTCCCCCTCTTGTCCTGCTCCTTCCTGCAGCAGCTGCTCTCCCCTAACTTGGCTACATGAGGTTTGAGCTCAAAAATAACCTTTTGCTTGCTAGAAATACATCATGGATTTGTCACAGGGTTGAGCAGGAGCTACTCACAGAGATTTTGGTGAAGATGGAGAGCAGGAGCGACAGGCCGGAGAGGTACATCTGGATTCTCTCCCCTCCAAACCTTCGCTGGAGGTACTCAGGCATCGTGACAATCTGCCAGAGGGAAAGAGAGCACTCACGGCCCTGTCCAGGCTCCCTCCTCCGGGGATGGTCCCAGGGAAGGCGAGGGGACAGCTGTATTCCCAGAGCCGGGCTTAGGGGTCTCAGAGGACAGTGGTGACAGCCGCCCGGGGAGCAGCAGACCTGCCCAGGGCCAGGCTCCCCCCAGCATGCTCAGCTGTACGTACCCCAGAGGAGATGTAGACTGGCACGAACACCCAGGCTAATGCCAAAAGAGCGTAAGTTGCCTGTTGGGAAGGAGAAACAAGGCACAGGCAGAAAAAGAATACTGACTGACATTGCCTGCAGTGCCAGACCTTGTCCCCCTGCCCTCACTCAGCCCTGGCTCACCCTCAGGTGCCCATTTCCATCCCCAAATGGCTGCAGACAGCAGGCACGAGTGCACAAGCTCATGGTGGAGACCCCCCCAGCACCCCAACCAGTAGGAGCCCGCTCCCCTCAGCCCTTCAGCTCCTGACCAGACATTTCGCACTAACACCCTGAGCATAAAGCAAGCTAAATACCATATTTTTTTCTGCAGAACCCAAGGACTTTGGCTTCAACGTGCAGAGAAGCAGGGAATGGGTGACCTATCCAGCCATCTCCCTGTTGGGGTCATGCAGGGGCTGGATTAAGCAGCTCTGCTCTGAAACATCCTTTTCCCTGAGCACGTGGACTTGAGTTGACTCCAAACTCACTGTACGTGCACCAGACACAAGCTGCAGAAGCTGAGTTAGCAGGGTTGTGTTAATTACCCCCTGCACAACTCCTCCCAAGCCTTTTGAGATGTTGCGTGAAGCTGCTGTGAAATGGGCCAAACTTAATTTTCTTACTAACATGACACGTTTCTTACGTTCCACTCGAAGCCAGTAACAGCAATTCCCCCAGCAGCACCAGTCCCAGCCAGCCCGATGAAGAGCCCTGAGCCTTCACTGCTTGCGAACAGAGAGGCACCGATCTGTGGGGGAGCAGAGGAGAAGGTGCAGGTGCTCGCAGGTGGGGTGCCCGGCTGCCGGCTCCCCACAGTTTGGCACAGCAGTCGTTCCAGCTGGACCAGCTTTGGTGCTTCCCCAGCAGTGCAGATCTGAGGGGATAACTCAGTAGAGAGGCAAAAATAAGGTCTGAACGGGAGCAGCGGAGGGTAGACCTCCCTGAAACTTCCAAAAGCAAAGTGTGGCCAAAGATACATCACATGCGATGAAGGATGTGGATGTATTTTGCAAGAAAAACCCTTAATAGACTCCAATACAGGTAGACGTGAGCCCAGGAACCTGCGCTCCTGCACGTTCAGCTCATCTGGGCATCCCCGGTGGGTTTTGGATGGACTTTGCCTTCATGTTGCTGCACTTGCCATGGTGGCCACACACCCTGCCCGGAGGTGGCTGAGCAAGCAGCCAGTGCCAGACACAGGAAGGACCCACAACCAGTTTGTCAAGATCATACTGAAATAAGAGGGACAAAAGAAACTTCGGGCTACCCATATCTTGTTGGAACAGAGGGGGCTGGTGGAGACAGATGTTGGACTCCAACGACCTCCCCCCTCCAAGTTCAGAGCAGCACTATGAGGAGACCCAAAAAGTTGGGTCAGGCTCCAGCATCCTTCATGCAATGAGAAGGGAAACAAATGCAGCTCAGAAGACAGAAATCCTGGCAGGAGGTGGTGTACAGGGTGGAGGAGAAAGCAGGGGGGCAGAAGAGGGAATTGGATGGGAGGGACAGTGGTGCTGGATGTCCCTGCTGTGTCACAAGAGGGACAGAGGTCTCGACTTACTGGCCACCATGCCATGTCTCTGCCAGCAAGGAAGTAGCCACTGACTGTGTTCCTGTTCACCCTGCATGAAGACTGGGAGGAGAGAAAAAAAAAAAAGATCAGCACAGAGCACCCTTCCCTACAAACCCAGACAAAACACCAAGAAACCAAGAACCAGGTCTCCCAGACAAGAAGCCAAGAGACAGGAGACTGGGGATAATTAATGGGAGCTCTATAACTCAAGCTTAATGACATGAAATGGTGCCTGCACCGAGTTACCTGGAGCCATGAATAGCAAAGGAGGCACCCAGAGAAGGGGAAGTGTGGAGGATGTGCCTGTCCTACCACCATGCCGAGCAGACAGGTTGGCTAATAGGGCCCAGCTTTGGCTCTGATTTTTCTGCAAGGCAGAATAAATGGCTTTGGAGAGCCTTTGTCTGAAACTGCAGGTAGCTGAGGGCTTTTTTCGCTAAGCAGGGCATTTGTCTCAACACCCTTTAATAGAGAAGCAGATCTGCTTACACCCAGCAGACCAGAGGAGAGGTTTGTGCTGTGGTTAATTCCACCTCGTTTTCAGGCTATAGGAGTCTTTCTACAGAGGGGTGAAAGGGGCAGAGGGTTCATTCAGCAGAACAGAGCAAATGCGGCACAACACACCAAATACATAACAAGGACAAACTACAAGAAAATAACAGAGGTTTTCAAAATATTTCACACAGAAAAGCCAGCCCTGAAAAAAACCCAACCACATTCAAAAAAGAAAGCAGAGAGAGAACAAGAGAAAATACTCTTACCCATATTCCCACTGCAACGTTTAAGGAAAAATAAAGCACTACAACAACAAGGTCAGCAACGCTGAACTGCTGCGAGGGGGTAAAGGATCCAGCAGTGGAATTGCCCTCCATCATTCCTCTGCCTCCTTCTTCATCCTCAGAGTCACGGAATCAGTAACTCGTTAGCAGCTTGAGGGCATTTATCATTAAACGAGCTGGCGGCAGGAGCTTTGCTCCCACAGGTTCTTGGGTAGGCAGCCTGGCTGACCACTGCCTCCTTCCCCTTTCCATTTCCCTACCAACCTTCCTGCTCGCACCCCAGGTTTCTGTGTCTCACGAATGAGCAGCTCCTTAATTCCCATTTCCTTGGGGTTTTCTGCTGCTTCTGCACTGATCTTGCAGAAGCTGCAGGCTCCAGCCTGAGCTGCCCCCGCAGTTAAAGCATTTCTGCGATGCGCTCTCAGGACAAGGGCTCCCTCTTGCAGAAGTGCCTTAAAACTGGACGTTACTGGACAAGAAACTGCCAAGGCTTTTGTCTTCTACGAACTGTAAACAAAATCCCATATTTTTCTTGCAGATACTAAATCTGGAAAGAATTTACGTGATCTTCTGACTAGTTAATTACTGCAGAAACTGATGAATCAAGCAGGGTTTTTAAAATGTTCTTTGAATTTCAAGGATCCCAGAGAAATACCCCTAAGAATAGCTGGCATTTCTGGTAATCTGGTATTTTTGCTTCTGGGAAAGGCAGTTCTACAGTTAAACACTGTAATGAAAGGGGCATGAAAAACATCCGAAGTCATAGGTGCTTCACTCCCTTTCAACCACTCCAGTGCTAGAAAAGCCAAACACCAGCAATCCAGTCTTACGACCACGACCATTCCCAAATTCCCAATCAATACAATAATTACACCGCACGAAAATAAGCAAAATTGGGGGTTTTCTACATGCTGAAGCAACAATCACACACAGGAGTTACATGAACATCCAAGGTAGAGCCTCAGCACACCAGCAGAAATGCTCAGAGATGAAGCTATTCCTCCAACAGCCAACACGCAACAGGTAACAGGAAACAACCCTTGAATTTCATGGGTTTGGGTATTTAGTGATCGTACTGTTTGCTGCACTGCATGCTCGGCCAGCTCATTTTCAAGTGGCAGCACACTTTCCAGTCATGTATCACAAGGTCTCATTAATAAAATAAAATCAAATAAATACACTGCAATAACATGCCCATCACCGAGACAGGTCAGCATGTTTCTCTCTGCTCTTTGAAACAGCCCCCAGTGCACCCAGGAGCAGGTCTGCACACTTGTGACTGCAACTGGAGTTCTCCCTCACTGCTCCGCTGGAATTTAACCTGCATTAACACATTCAAAGTACATGTAAGTGTTAATACATCAGCCTGGTGTACCTATTAACATCATTGAACTGTTTAATAACCTACTGTCATTAAAGTACAACAGGTACAGCTTTGCGTTGTGTCATTTTATAGAAAGTACCCCTCTGGACAGGACTGCAAAAAGCAAACAATAATCTTAGGAAAAATAAGGTCACAGAACAAAGAACAGCGTTATCTGAACAGAAATGTGCAGTTGCTTAAATAAAATCACCATCTCGCTGAATGTACCAATGAGATCAAGTACTGTAGATCTTTTAACAATATCCAAGTCTCCTAGTCACCAGCCTCCATTGTGCTGTACCAGGACAGACAAGGGAAGGAAAAAAACCTCTGTTTTTATCTGTAAAAGCAAATGAACCTTCCAAAGCCATTGGAAGTTTGCCTCAAGTAGAAATGATGTCAGCAAAGGTTAAGTTTCACTTCTGGTTTTGAGCATGCCAAAGATTTTATACTCATTTGTAGGACATTCGAGAGAGATCAGACCTAACAACCCCTAAATGCTCATTAATTCCACCACGGTTTTCTCTGCAACAGCTCCAGGACTGGAAGCCCAGTGTGGCAGCCAGCCGGCCACTCCCCCCACACATACGTGAGGAGGGTTGGGGAAACAAACCCAAACAAGTTCAGCTCTGCACTATGGCTGCATTTTTTAGCTCACCTGTGCATTCAGGCCAGGCTAGAAACCTCTCAAAAAACAGTTAACCTGTGATGAGCTGATTTGGATTTTACCAGCCGGAGTGTCTGGCCCCTCTGAGTATTCCCAAGTCCCAGTTGTTCCCCGACATCCTGCCACAGATTTTGCTCCCTCCCACATCCCCTGAAGCCAAGCAGCACACTGGAAGTGCTCTGTAACTGCCAATCACAACTCATCTAAAAACGTTTGATAGCACCTGCAGCCGGACAGCAAAAGGTTGTATTCTGAGTTCTACAAGACTGCTCAGCAGAAGACAGGTTGAAAAACGAGTACCAGCACTAGGGAAAAGCAGCCCCTCCTCCTCGTCTGCAGATGTTCCACTATAACAAGCAAAACACTCGCTACTCTCCTCACAACCAAGAGTCCCAAATCCTGTTCATATTCCAAAGAAACACATTAGCATAAAAGAATCAATTCACCTCTTGATTTCTTTCAGTAATGTAATACCTGAAAATCATTTTTAAGGGGACACACATCAGAAGACAAGTGACCAGGACACGAACGTTTTTAGAAAGCTCACACAAAACAAATCTTTATTCTTTGTCGCAGAAAATAAATACAGGTGCATATTTCATATGCTTTTCTATAAAAGCACTCCTACAAAATCACTTAACTGCATACAACAGTACAACCTTTTTGGCTTTTAAAATGCAAATATTATACAGTCACTTCATT